TGGCCACTTGTCATGTCAATTTAAGTGTCTGTGAACTTGTTCAGTTTATGACTCAGTTAAATCTTTTGATGTTCATACAAATATTTACATTTTTTAAAAGTTGAATGTGAGATGATGTTTCTTTCTTGTCTGAGTTAAGCCACAAACTGACCCCCAAAAGAAGTTACAATATCACTTACAAGGTTCCAATATACTATTGTTAGTAGTTAATGTGGACTTTTTCCCATGGTTAAAGAGCATTGAATACTATGCATCATTATTCTGAGATTCTTGTCCCACATGTCTGATTTTATTCAAACTCTTTATTCTGTAGGTAAATGGAAGAAGCATGTCTGTTGCCACCCATGATCAAGCAGTAGAGGCTTTCCAAACTGCCAAAGACCCTATTGAGGTTCAGGTACTGCGCAGGACAGCACACAAGACTTGCAAGACTCTTAAACCAGCCCGAGGAATGGACAACAGTACTCAGACCATCATTACGCTGAAAACATCGAAACATATACAGACTTTGGCCAAGTTAACATCACCTTCAACACCATGTATGGCTTTGCTGGACAGTTTCTGTTCGCCTTCACAGTAAGTGCTTATCAGTGTTTATTTCACCAACTGCATCAAAACAAAGAATCTTAATAGAAATTTTCATTTTAAAATGAGATATTTTGTCAACGCGGCTTCAGTTAATTCAGCTAATTTTTCATTGTATTGAAGGTATCAAATGGCAAGACGTGACTCACCTTACCCCTCAGACTTCCATGACGATGTACAGAAAGACATTGAGAGTAGAGGACTGGAATATGTGGTATTGTGTTTGCATAGACTGTATTCACTCACTCTCCTGAGCAGTGCACGCTTAAATCATGTTTAATCTGTGTGTCTCCTGAGGTCATTTTAATTTTGATTTCATATACCCACTAATATGGCCAAGACCACTTTAATTACACATGGATTTACTATGCAAATGAATCATCATCTATATAAGTGCAGCAAGCACTACAAATTCTCAGACTGGCTTTGGTTTATGTCTTATGTTAACAATGACTAAAATGCTAAATCTTTGTCATCAAAATCAATTTCCTGTGTTTTAATAGGAGGTGGATCTGCAGAGGAAAACCACTCAGGATAAGCTTGGCCTGAAGTTGTGTTACAAGACGGATGATGAGAAGTCTGCCATTTATATTAGCGAGGTAGGGTTCTGCAGTGGGAATTTCTCAGGACAGTAATTGTTAAGGCAGTTTTTCCGACAATTACATTTTTGGTTTAGTACTTGCTTAGTGTAGCTTTAGGTGTTCGAGTCTATTCACAGTTAAGGCTAAATGCATTGTTCTTACCCTACTTAAGATTGCTCCAGAAGGAATTGCAGCAAAAGATGGCAGAGTCCAGGAAGGAGACCGGATTATCCAGGTAGAATTTATTCTATTGGGTTTGTTTTGAATATGTTGGCTCAAACAAAACAAAGCTTTTAATATTTTTTCTTCACGTGCTGAAGATCAATGGAATGGACATCCAGAGCCATGAGGAGGCAGTGACACTTCTGACCAAGGTGGAGAGTAAGAATGTAACCCTCCTAGTGGCTCGACCAGAAAGTCAGGTCTGCTAACTGTTCTGTGAACTTGCAGATAAAGATTTTGGTCAATTACATTTGATTTATCTCAGGAGTTTCCAATCCTGCTCCGGTAGGACCACTTTTCTGCAAACCTAATTAAAACACCTCAACTAACTGGACCAAAATTGTGCATGAAGTGGCCCTTCTGTAGCAGTTTTGGACATCTATGTTTGAAGTAAAAGAATGACATTGCATTTCGGTATGGGTTGCAGGATGTTGGCTGGTTGGAGGATAGAAACAACTTAGATGACTTGCACATGGGCACACTGGAGCATCACAAGGTCAAGGAGTTCACTACAAGTATGCTGCAGCAGGTAAGTTAATAAGGGTCAAGTCAACAGTGAATTGCTCGCTTCATCCAATTACAGGAGCTATTCTTACTATTAACGTGATTTGCAAGCTATTAAAAGTACTTCCCTCTCTATTTAACAGAGCACAAATGAAGAAGATGGAGGCACTACAGATACGGCTACTTTACTATCCAACCAGCATGAGAAAGACAGCGGCGTAGGCCGCACAGATGAAAGCACTCGTAATGATGAAAGCTCAGAGCAGGACATCTTGGGGGATGACCAGAATTCCCTCTGTGACACTCTCCCAGAAAACCACAAGAAGTACAACTATAATCAGGACACTGTCGAAAGTGGGGACATGCACTTAAGCAATGACTCCTTCCTTTCGGCTGACAATGGAGATAGTGGAAACTTCCTTGGTATACCTGGCACGGCATGTGAACGTTTCCGGAAACTGCTTGAATTGAAATCTATGGTGAATGGTAACAGTCTTCAGGGATTTCTGGAGCATACTGCCACACTGTATGGAAAGGGGGTTAATGTAGACTGTGATGATCAGGAGATTCAGATGCTTAATGAGGAGTTGCTTAACATTGAGCTGGAATGCCTGAGTATCATGCAAGCACACAGGCTTCAGGCTGAAGGTGGTAATCAGCAAGCCAAAAAACCTAGTGCCAAGCACTTTTTTGAGCAAGTCCATCAGGACCTCATCAATAACCAAGTGGACAACGAAGGCTCTACTAGTGCTTACAACACTGGAGAGAGCTGCTGGAGTTTACATCCTACTCTGGAAGCAGATTCTGTTGTATCCCAAAGGATGGTTGCTGGAGACAAGGGTAAAGGTTCTCCCATGCATAGACGCAACTCAACAACAGCATGCTCCAAACATAACCTCTCTCCCATTCAGGAGATCAGCCCTACCAAGAGTTTACCTGGAGATCCAGAGGTTACAAATCAGGGGAAAAGAAAGAGTAAGAAAAAGAACCCAAGGAAGAGTCTTTTGACATCCTTGCGTCATTCCTCATACAAGAACACCTACATCCCAGCCCATGCACAACATTACCAAAGCTACATGCAACTTATCCAGCAGAAATCAGCTGTGGAATATGCCCAGAGTCAAGTCAGCTTAGCCAGCCTGTGCAAGAATGCAGATACCACCCCCACGAAGTCCAGGCCCAAGACGGGGTGGAAGGTAAAGATCCGTAGTGATGGAACAAGGTACATAACCAAAAGGCCTATCAGGGACCAGCTTCTGAAGGAGCGAGCTTTGCGCATTCGAGAAGAACGCTGCAGTGCAACTACAGATGACGATGCAGCCAGCGAACTAAAACTGGGTCGATACTGGAACAAGGAGGAGCGCAAACAGCATGCGGCACAAGCTAAAGAACAGCGTCAACGGCGGGAACTCTTGAAGCAGTGCTGCATAGAGAGCAAAGAACAAGCCGGAGCACTGGACGACAAGAAGGAGCCTGATATTATCCAGCTTAGCCGTAAAAAGATGATGAAGAGGAGGAACAAGAGGATATTTGACAATTGGATGACCATTCAGGAGCTGCTGACACATGGCACAATGTCCACAGATAGTACAAGACTATATAATTCCTTTCTTTCTGTGACTACAGTATAAGGGGTTGCGTGGTTTAGGGCACTTTACTAGTTTACGGTGTAAAATCATGTGAGGGTTGGTATGGGAAATCTTGCCTCATTTCAAGAGGTGGGTCATTTAGGGACTTAAGTATGAAAGAGATTTGTGAGACACAGTAGTTTGAGTACATAACCGTGATGATGAATTAAAGTAAACCACAGATTTCCTATCTTAATACTTTATAGAACTTGAGGGTGCACTAACATTGCAGTTTGTACTGAAATGTTTTATTGAACGACTCATCATAGTTTAATGTAAGAACAAATGCGAATCTATTTTATGTGAAATTCTAGCTCTTATTTGCAGTTACTGCCCATTACTTGCATATCACCCACTTATTAAATGTGATGGCTAGCAATATTAGGTTTCACTTAAACATTGCGGTGAAAATGAATTGTTTCTGTGACCTGATATTCCAAAGAGTTTTATTCAGATATGTTATAAATGTCTCCGGTTGCCACAGATTAAGCATATCACTGCTTTTAATGTGAACATTTATTGCTCTTCAGAAATACTGTTGAAAGCCCAAGCATTCAGTTCACATGATGGGAGACCATACAATTTTCACTTTTCACAAAAGCAGTGAACACTTATAATCTACAAAATCTAATTTAAAAATTCTACATATCAAAAAGGAGCTGTGGAAATAGGTATGGGTAGAACAGCCTGTATACATGTCTGTAGGAAGCATGAAAAGTACAGTTTAAGAGATGTTGGTGTTGACAGTGTTGCTCATTTTAACCTTTTTACAACTGTTTGCCATTGTTTGATGAAACAAAATGAAAATCTTATAACAAATAAGGATGGCTCAATAGTGGTTAAGCATAATATGTCAGTCGAAAAGACAGGCTCACTATATTAAGTTACACATTGCAACCAACAACACTCGAGCATCTAGTGCATGGAAAGTCACATTAGTCCATTTTAGAATCTATTTACCAGCATCAGTGGATTAACATGTCGGTGCTATGCTGGGAAGGCAGTTAAAATAAAAGGACCTAAAAATAAAAGAAAAATAGCAAAGAAAGGAAATCGGTCTAATGCTGCTATTGAGCACTTTGTGCTACAAGCCAGCAGATGAATGCAGAAGGCAATATAAGGGGAAAGGGGTGTTCTCCTGGAATGTTTAGACACTGGTCTGCCGGCCAACGGGAACCCTGAGATCATCCGTTGACTAAACCAAAGGAAGTGCACACACACCCCTCACCCCTACAAACATATGCACACATTCACACAAACCAAAGATTTGCCACGTTTTCACTCTTAGTAGAGCAGGAGAGAGATGAAAGGTGTTTTACCCGACAGCTTTAGAATGTGTTGATGTGGAGTTGATGGACGCCCATGATTAGAACAGGATTACAGAAAACTGCCATGGACACAAGGCATTCGAGTTACTCAATGGCAAACGCTCCACTTAACCACCAGAAAGATGAGCTTCCAGTATTTTTAGTTGTTCTTCAGAGAAGAGCCCATATTAAGAGAAGATGCCCGAATAAGGGTCATAAGGAGTAGATGTGTCACAAGAAGTCATCAGAATGCCCTCCTCTCCTGGTCTATAAAGGATCTGCTAAACTCGCAGGATAAGTGATTTTTGGGGTTTTGTACAGTAGAGTGTAAAAATCAATCATGTACAGCCAAACTTCAGTCTTGCTCCATGGTGTCATCTGCAGTCTCTGAGCTGTCTGAACTGATTTCTGCAGTGGTACTGCCCTCTGCCGTCAGCTCTGTGGAACTGCTGGGACATGCAGATGGAGTCTCTGCACTGGACACTCCCTCGTCACTGCTATTATTGCTGCTGCAGCTGCTACTGCTGCTGCTGACTGGGTCATTTCTCTCGTCCGTTTCCTGAGCCTCGGCGCTCTCTTCCCTCTCCGACCGCTGTTCTGGTAGATCTGATTTGCTGCCGGTCGCCTGATTGTGGGAAGGGTCGGGTGAATCTTCTGAAGTGGATTTGTCAACCCTGTTTTCTATGACCTCTGACTGTGTACTCGAGGGTTCTGCAGAGAGAGGAGCAGAAAACGTAAATGTATGCAAACAGCTGCTGATATGCAAAAATATAAGCACAGCAGTTACTCACATGACCAAACTGATTGAAATAAAACAAGAACAAATCATATTAATGGCTTATTTTACACTGATTGAACCCAAACCCTATGGTCTATTATGCTTTTCAGTCACCCACATTCCTTGTACATCGAGGAATGTACAATATGTTAAAAACAAATAATAAAAAATACACCAGGTTAAACGTTTGGACACACTTGACTAAATGAGACGTCTTTTTAAAACCGAAGTTCAACAGAAATAATAAATAATACAAAAAAAAAAAAAGTGTAAACTATTAACAACCCAGTTGTTAGTTGGTAGTTCTTCTGACCATTGGCATTTATTACAAGAATCTCTTTATGTTAAAAACAAATAAAGTTGGCTTCATCAGCCATCAGATAGTGGAGACTTCCCTGCTTTTAGACCTCCAAAGTAAACAAAGACTAGACATAAAAAAAGCTTTAAAAGCCTGCGATTACTCAGATATAGCTTTCATCTAGACATGCTAAATCTCCAGTTTAAACAAAAAAAACGATTGTCCCACAGAAAAATGGTCCCCCCCTCCCCTCAAATGCTAAAGTACTTCTTTACCAATGAGACAAGTGTCAACGAGGGGCTTAAATGAAATGAGAAACTATGTGGAAAATCACTTGTAAACTGAATTTACTGCAATTTATGCATCAAATATATAGAAAATATTAGGAATTTAGATAAGTAAAATGGTTAAATGGATAACTCTTTAAAATAAGGTTCATTAGTTAACATGAACTAATAATGAACAATACTTCAACATCATTTATTAATCTTAGTCGATGTTAATTTCAGCATTTAATGCATTATTAAAATCACAAGTTGTGTCTGTTAACAATAATGCACAGTGAACTAACATGAACAAGCAATGAACGACTATTTTCATTAACTAACATTCACAATAGTGCAATAAATGTTCATTGTTTGTTCATGTTAGTCATTCATTCCATTAACTAATGTTAACAAATGACACCTATTGTAAAGTGTTACCTAAATATGTAAAATAACAGCTGCAACTTTAACAAGCCTAATGAGTTCTTACAAAAACACAACAAAAAATACAGAATCTTTCAATGGGTCTAAATCTATTGAACAAGTGTATCACATCCTGGCATTTTGTACTTACTTGACTGTTCTGTCTGATTGCTCTGATGCTTGTTCTTTGCTTTCTGTGCTGTCAGGAAGGCCGTTGGTAGCTACACTGCTGGACAGGGAGAGTTTTGGTCTGTTCAGTGGCCTGTGTGTTCCTGGACCGTTCACATTTCTATCACAGACAATCAAAGACACATCAAGCCATCAGACAGTAAAATTAAGTCCAAAATTAAGTCCTCTCTTTACAGTGAGCGCTAACATTTCAAACTGAATTGGTTTAGTGACCCATGAGGCTGATTTCAAAGTTTCCACAATGCTGGTTAAAGTGATAAACTCACCTATCTGGAAACGCTGAAGCGTTACCAGGGAACATGACACCATTCATTCTGTTCACACAACCTGACCCTTTTTTCCTGTTAAAATAAAAGATGCATTAAAGAACAGATTTTGAACACATTACAAGCATCACTGAGAGCTGCCCACTCAGAAAACAGTCAACTAGAGCAGGAAAGAGTTTAACTCACTCCGAGGTAGGATACACACAACTGACCACCATCACATTCTGAAAATGAAAAAGATTTCATTCAGCTGAGTGGAGAGCGTTAATCGGCTTTAAGACCTTCAGAAAACAAGGCACAGATCAAATTCACTCCCAAAGTTTTGGTTGTTTATTTCCTTGAATGCAACATACCTTCTCCACACCCCTGAGGAACTTGTCTGTTCCTGCGTAGTTTCTTTTTGGCTCAGTAAGAAGCTCACAAAGACGCTGAATAGTGAAAGGAATCCTGGAAAAAAAAAAGAAGAAGATATATATATCAATTTCATTGAAATGCTTTCAAAAAGGGACTACAGAACAACTGTGGAATATGCATGTCGTCCCTTACCCGTTGTATCCATTGACGATTTTAAGAATCCTCTGCTTCATCTCCTCAAAGGGAATGTACTCAACGTTTGGATTGGCAGGTCCCCGTTGCTCTGGACATGAGTCCTTAAAATCATCCATCACTTTCTCCAGTTTAAAGAGGAAGTAACCTTTAATCTGAGACCACTGAATCCTGATGATGTAGAAAGCAATAATGAAGATACAAATCTGAAACTTCACATTTACATTTTATTGTAGGGATGCACCCAAATGAAAATTCTGGGCCGAAACCGAAAATTCTGGATGCACTTGGGCGAAAACCGAAACCGAAAATGCTTTGTAATGATTATTTAATATTTTGCAAGACTTTTTAAATTAACAATTACTGAATTTTAAAAACACAACATACTTTTTTACTGACAGTAACACATTAACATTAGTTAACTACTTTAGTTAACATGAACGGATGAACAATACTACTTCAGCATTTATTAATCTTAGTTGATGTTAATTTCAATTTTTACTAACGCATTATTAAAATCAACAGTTGCGCTTGTTAACAGATAATGCACTCTGAATTAACATGAACTAACAGTGAACTGTATTCTCATTAACTAACATTAGGAAAGATGAATAAATACTGTTATAAATGTATTGTTCATGTTAGTTAGTAGGCTACATTAACTAACACTAACTAATGGAACCTTATTGTAAAGTGTTGCCTTAATATTAATTGAGGGGAAGTTAACGTTTGATGAAAAACTTTAAAAAGGGCACATTAAACAAAAAATAAAGATAATGCACGTTTAGAATAAACCCTGCAATATTTCTTTAAAAAATTAGAACTGCCTATTTTGATTTGCTGTTTGAAGAAGCCCTATAGAAGCCTATTTTTTGCCTTAGGGGAGAGGGAAAAAAATGTACTCATGACTTATCACACAATTCTGACTTTTAGTTATGTTAGGTTTTATTCTTTGAATTTTCCGTTTCTCTCTATTAAAGCGTGATTATTTTGTGGATACATGGGTCTGTCTGGATCAGAAAATGTTCTTGCACATTTATTTCATGTTCATATTAACGCACAAAATCAAATATTACATTCATGAAATGAACATTCTGTTCAAAGAATACATTTTATGACCCGTGCAGACACTTTCAATTATAAGAAAAGAAAAGAAAAATCTGAATTGTGAGATGTTAAAAGGCCTGAATCATGAGATATAAACTCAGAACTTGCACTATACAAACGCAGAATTGTAAGACAAAGTCAGAATTATGTGATGAAAAGTCACAATTACCCGTTTTATTCCGAGGTTTAAACCAGGCTAGTGTCCTTGAAAAAAGTGTGTCTATAAAAGCAATGTTCTCTTTAGAACAGCATCTGTGGAATCTGTGTGTGCGAGAACTGAACTTACATGGTCTCTCCTGTTTTCGCAACATGCGATAGAAACTGATCCAAAATGGGGCAGGTTTCCTTTTCTCCTTTCTTCTCGAAATCTACAGTGAACAACAAAGTAAAATAATAACGCTTCTTGTAGAAATACTTTCATTCTATTGCATACTCGGTCTACCATTACTGATATCTTACTTAATTTTTTTATTGCTTACAGTGTGCATTCATGCTATGGCAATTTTGTATGAAGAATGCCAATGGAGCACTTTGAAACGGACATTTCTGACATGGTGCCTGAACTGAAGCATTTACAATATGATCATGGAGGAAAACTGGATTATGGAGGTGTCAAAATATTTGTATACGATCTAATATCTTGAGTTTATAAACAATGTCAGCATCAATGCCTCGCTCAGTCAGCAACTTTGGCTCTTCTGTAGTTATTGTGTAATCCACTCACACCTTTCTACAAAGTTATGCCACACAAATAAGCGCCCGAGAAACTTTTTTTTGCTGACTATGCAGCTAAGTTAACGCAAGTAAGAAGTTTCAGACAGTAACGTTAAATAAGCGACTAAGCTAGTGTATTGAGTGCTCACATTATAACAGCAGTGTAGCTCAGAGCTAACCGGCTTTCTATCTTGTTGCTGGGTTGCAGAGCACTTTATCAACTTCCGACCAGGTACATCAACAAAATCAACTCAAACACATTTTCTGTGTACTGCTGAGAACCAATCGATATCGATTACTCGTGATATTTAATGCTTTCCCCCGCTGGATCAACACCTAGCATCGGCTGCTAGTTTGAGTTCCTAGCTTAGCTTACAAGCTAACGAATTTACCAAACCTTTTCTGTTAACCGTTATTGGTCAGATGGTGCCTGCGGTACCTCTAAATGCTCCCATAAGTGTGTCGACTTCCATTGTGGAGGTATGTTTGCTACTCTCTGGTCTCTCTGAGTCCAGCTGGAAACAGAAAGATGGCAACAGCGACACGGAGAAAACAGCAGCAGATCTTTAATATGGCGCCGGTGACGTCACTGCCTGCCTGGCTGCTGCTGCGCATGCGCATGCGCCGGGTCTGCGTGTTGATGAAAACTCTTCATCCTGCATAGAGGAGCAAGAAACAATATTGTTTATATATCAATCTGTAACCTTTGTGCTTCTATCTACTAAAAAAATAAAAGACAGAAAGAAAAAAGTTGAAGGTAAAATTACAAGTGGAACTTGTAACATATATTGTAGCTTGTATACTGATATTTAGATGTTTAGGCAGAGGCAGTGATTTTTCAATCCAGGAAACACATAAAAAACAGTTCTGGCTGGTTCTGATGCTTTATGTCTTTCTTATGGGGCTGCACTGAAATAGCACTTATCAATACTATGTAATGAAGAACAGCACTGAAGAATAGCAGAATAATAACAAAGGAATTTTAGAACTCAGAACTTAATCATAGGAAAATGAAGAGCAGGGCTGTAAACATGAACGGATATGTAATTCGGTGAAACGGAATACGTTTAAATATGTCTGAATATATTTGCAAGACACTGTAAATTAAAAGCTAACCAGAGGGAAGCAGTGTATGCACGAAGATTGAAGTTGTATTGTTCATTATTCTCCTCTCTCCTTTATTTTATTATTCTCCTCTCAGTTATTGCTAACCTTAATTTAAAGTCTTTCTATAATTTGTTCCTTTGTGAATCCACAAATGGAGCTTATACATATATTAAGGGTCATTAAACTTGCGTGTCTTTTTTAAAACTGTAACGTTAAATAAGATCTGAATTATCTAAGGGCTTAGATAAAGTGTGTGTGTGTGTGTGTACTGGTTTATATATCCTGGTGGGGACTTAAACCTGACTACACACAGACTCATGGGGACTCGTGTCACGGTGGGGACCTAAATTGAGGTCCCCACTGGTACAAAAGCTTATAAATCATACAGAATGAAGTTTTTTGAAAATCTGAAAATGCAGAAAGTTTCCTGTGAGGGGTAGGTTTAGGGGTAGGGTTGGTGTAGGGCAATAGAATATACGGTCTGTACAGTATAAAAACCATTACGCTTATGGAGAGTCCCCACAAGGATAGCAAACCAGACTCTGTGTGTGTGTGTGTGTGTGCACGTTTTTGTGACAAATGAGGACATAAATTTGTATAATGACAAGGGTATGACAGGTATTACAAGGAGAAGGTGACTTTTCAGGACATTACCCCATGTCCCCACTTTTCAAAACGCTTATAAATCACACAGAATGGAGTGTATTGAAAATCTGAAATAGCACAAAGTCTCCTGTGAGGGGTAGGTTTAGGGGTAGGGTTGGTGTAGGGCAATAGCACATACAGTTTGTACAGTATAAAAACCATTACGCCTATGGAGAGTCCCCATAAACCATAAAAACAAACCTGTGTGTGTGTGTGTGTGCCTGCCTGCCTGATTTGGGGATTTTGCTGTCAGTTTTTCTTGTGCTTCAATGAAAGCAAGAACATCTGACCTTTTGTGCAAAGGGGTCACAAGATCAATGTCACAAAGTTACTCGTGTGATATCTGTTCTTTCAGTTTATGTCAAAACCTTTCTTTTCCCTTTTTTCAGAGATGTTTTCAGCTTCTGTAAAACTTCTGTTTATTTTCATGTTTGAAATAGATTTCATTTTCAGTGTAGTGTCTCGACTTATTTGGACTTATCCTATGAAGCATGCCATCATTTATTTATTGTTGCTATTCTTTTCGCAGGTTACAGTAAAGGTATGCCATTTGCAGTGGTCACAGTTTCAAACAAACACATGTATGTATAGAACATTTAGACTTTTAAACGTGCGCGAGTTGTGATTGGCTCAGGACGGTAGCCTATGGCATGCAGCCATAGTCTCTGAAAAGATAAGTGGATTAGATGAGGGGGTCTGTCTGTCAAATTAAAGCTATATAGGCCAATGGTGAAAAAGAATGCATTTTTTGTAGTAGATATTCAGTATGTTCATAGTTGTTTTGCAAAAGCACAGCACAGATGGTAGTGTATAATTATTTTAGCTGTTTAAGATTTCCCGAAAGTGGATTATGGGATACAGCAGGGATATTTCTGACATAATTCTAGGTCACTAATCAAATAAGCAAAGCAAATTTGTGTCATTGAACTCGGGACAAAATATCAGATGTTTCCACCAAACATCAGATGCTTTTTGAGGAATTTTGAAATGGCTATTTAAAAAAAAAAAAAAAAAAAATAAAACGTAACATTTTTATACTTGATATTTTTGTTAAATTGTGAAAATTAAAAACAAAATAATAATTCACCGGTGGTCTCAGACGTTTGGACTCCAGTGTATATGCAAAGTGTTTCATCTTTCGTTTTTTTTTTCCCCAAACGGTTCGCTCTTAAAATTGACATATCATGAAGAAACCCCATATCCTTTAGCTCCATTACCAGTTTTCAGCCAAATATTCTAGTGGGATGAATGTGGCGAGTGCTCACTGGCTTTATCGCAGGTGTTCATATCTCTGCCAAAGGGACAGTCTTTTCATGTATTGTGTACGGCGTGAAGTACGCAGACATCTCCTCTCGGCGCAAATTGCATGCTTGAATGTTGATTTTCTGGCTTTGTTAAAGCAACAGGATCAGTCCCTGCTCTCTCATAGAGAGGTTGTTTGATGAGGCCGGGTTTATTACGCTGTTCTGAGGTGTGCTTCTGCTGACTTGAGTGAGTGTCGTCTTTGTCTGGCCACTCTTACACACCAGAGTAGCAACAGCTGAGGGAATCAGCAGGGTACCACACAGACAGACACGCACAGAAACCCTTTCTCTGTCTCGCTTTTAAGCCATTCTCATGCTGTGAAGTGGACCACTCACTTATAAAAATGCAAAAAATGTCAAAGTAATTTTTCCACTTGTCAAAGAGGATTTTTGCATAACTCAAAACTGTGGTAATACTCCATAATCACAGTTAATTGGTGCAAAACAATGTAATGTTTCCAGACTAGGTGTTGTATGAAAGATTTGTGTTATGATGTTGCTCCAGCCAAGAAAGAAAGAAGGGAAAGGACAGACAGAGACCTGCCTGACGACGACCACTTCGACATGGACAACTCCGACTCGGATAGGCTCAGCAGTCTCCACCCTGACTCCGACCATCCCGAGAGAATAGGTCTGGACGGAGGTCAGCTGGACCGTGGACATTCTCACAAGGAGCGGAGACAGGAGCATGGTCTAGACAAACCGCAGTTGCTCCATACAGACAGGAGGCCTGAGATAGCAGGACTAACCCCAGACCTGCTGCAGCAGCATCAGCACAACGGAACAGACAGAGAGCACACGGACAGAGCAATGCTGGACAAACTTCAGCAGATGGATAAAGATCATCCGCACACGGCAGACTCTGGGATGCAGCCGGCAGAGAGGATGGGTGCAGAGAGAGAGGAACTCAAAAAAGGAAAAATAGAGAGAGCCATGATGGAGAAACACAAAGAGAAACCTAAAAGCCTCACACCCAGTAAAAAACCCACTGCTAAGAAGATCAAGTGAGTGTTTTTATGCAGCCATGCTCTGCAAGTGGTCTTTTTCCTTGGTTAACAAGCACATGCAATTAATTCATTATGCCAAATTCTGTTAATGCATGTATTTTTACTTTATAACAGTGGGGTTCTGGAATTAAAAATCCCATCAATTTTCTCCACAGGGGAACTGATTTTTAACAATTTATAAACCTATAAAGACAGACCAGCTGTGAGCTGCATGCTTTTGTTGAAGCCATTAATCCAGATTATTTCAACTTATTTTTTTTAAATGACATTGGAAATTCTGGTGAAAAACTACGTTACCCATAATTGTTCAAATGAATCTTCACCAACCAGAGAATTAAAATGAGCAAGTCGTGTCAAATTACGTGAAGCACTGCAAATCACGTAATAGTTGGTATGCCCCCCTTTGCGCTCTAACTACTTAAATATTTGCTATAAGCAACATCTTAAAGTTAATAGTTTCTCCATTTTTAATTAGATTTTTATTTGCAATGCTTCATGGGATTGTAGTTCTTTCCCTCATTAAAGCCATTAAGTACACAGTCTTGTACCTTTTGTCTTTTTGCAAGATTTTTTTTATACTTAGTTTGTAATGTTTTGACTCAATTTTGCAGCTGGTTGGTTTGGTTCGGTTCATGGCTTAAAATTCTTAAACAAAAACATTTTTAATATCCCTATGGGAAAAATAGTTCTGGAACCAAGGCCACTGAGAAGTAGATGGCCACTGTTGCACTCTATAAAGGTTTTATTCGGTTCTTTCTATTCAGAGCTGATTATAAAATGGGAGCAGTTCAAGTATCACGCACAAAAGGATTCATTTATTGGATAATTTATTATATTAAAGGAGTCATATGATGCTATTTTAAAGATCATTATTTGGTGTAACAGAATATGTTGACATGCTTTAATGTTCAAAAAACACATTATTTTTCAAATACTGTACATTATTGTAGGTCCTCTATGCCCCGCCTCTCTCAAACACGTAGTTTTCAACAAAGCCCCCTCCATTGACAAGCGCAGTCAGCTCTGATTGGCCAGCTGATCCAGTGCATTGTGATTGGCCGAACACCACAAGCACGTGTCGGAAATGTAACGCCCCTTACCATAATCGCGAGCTTCAGCTTTCAAAGTAAATATCAAGACAGTTAATAATGTCGTTAGTTTTACCATCAGTTCAAGCCAGAAAGCGCAACAGAGTCGCGTGACAGACACAGTGATGATGCAGTACACAAGCCACGGTTAAGACAGCTGACGTGCTATGATTTCTGACAGACAGTTCACTCTCCTGTGATGTGACCCTGTTCCCCTCACACACACACACACACACACGACGCGTTACTCTGCGCTGCGCAAAACTCCGCATTTGAACAGTCAATAGCAAATACTTAAACGAATAACAAAACATACTTACAGTCGCTGATTCAGAAGCGCCAGATTGTCATAGCCAGCCTTGTACTCTTCTAGGTTAAAAAAAGCTGTCGTCCATAAAATGCGTTGCACAAATTCGAACATCTGGGTTGTGCTGTTCTGTTGTAAATAAATCTTAACCAATGATCCTAATTGCCTCTACTTCCGGAAG